GAAGCCCCACCCCCCGCGTAAGAACGTCTGAGCCCCCCCACCCCCCCCCCTCGGGGAGGTGGCGGACACTGGAAAAAGTATATAATTATATTTCGTTGAATGGGACGGTAGACATGTTTTTTTTTGGGGGGGGGGGGGGGGGTGGGGGGGGTGGTGTGTGTGGGGGGTGGGGGGTGGTGTGTGTGGGGGGTGGGGTGGTTTTAGTTTAGACTTTTTCCTCCCCAGAGAGGGGTGGGGGGTACTTGAAATTTTCGGGGGCGGGGGTAGAATTTTCGGGGAAGGGGCGGACACTGGAAAAAGTATATAATTATATTTCGTTGAATGGGACGGTAGGCATGTTTTTTTTTGGGGGGGGGGGGGGGTGGAGGGGTGGGGGGGGTGGTGTGTGTGGGGGGGGGGGGCGGTGTGTGGAGGGGGGTGGTGTGTGTGGGGGGTGGGGGGTGGGGGTGGGGGGTGGGGTGGGGTGGGGTGGGGGTGGTGTGTGTGGGGGGGGGTGGGTTGGTTTTAGTTTAGAGAAAAGAGACAGCACTATCAAGCTAGCGCCCGGTGTATCCTTCCTCAACGGGCCATTTTTCTCGTAATTATATAATATTCAAGGAGATTTTCCCAATATGCCTACAGCCTACATAAAAAAAAACCTGCACATAAAATAGCGATACTCATTAAATTTTAATTATTATTTAATTTAAACAATACCAATGAAAACTAGAGATCTATCACTAAGCTCATTTGGGGCTAAAATACAGGATTTTAATTATTGGACTTGACAGCTTAGCTGGGACAGCTTTTTGCGTGACAACCATTCTTAGATCTGATCAACAAAGTTGAGATAGCGACCTTGGATGTTCGTAAAGATCATGTGAGGGAGGGGGGAGTGACGGTATGGGTCAATAAAACATAATCAAAAGGATACTTGTAGCTTGGTTATGTAACCTATTTACTATTTTTTTAATTTAGGGGCTAATGAATGATTAAAAAATAATCACTTTTTAAATGTTTAAGAACATAGTGTAGATCTCAACTTTTTAAAGATATTCATATGCATGTTTTATTCAGTTTTGATTAATTAGTGCAGGGCAATTAAAAAAGATAGCAATGTCATTGTAAAATGAATCTAACCCTTCTCTCTCACTGGACTTGAGACCGGTGTGTTATTCACAAAGCTTTGTCCATGCTCAGTTTAAAATATTGTTAATATTTGTATGTATTTGATTTATTTTTTAACACTGCAATAGCATTAAAATTGACCAAGATCGCGAGAAATGCATTCTAAACAGCATCAACCGCAGTACGTGTGACAGACATCTCGCTCACGTAGTTTTGTCAACCAGAAAAGTTAGCCAATCAAATACAATTTATCAGGCCTATAAAATAAAAAGAGGCCTATCGCATTAAAATGATCGCCTATGAGTGAATATATCGGCAAATTACAAAAATCACTAGTCACCCTTTCCGAGTTACATGAGTTAGCAAAATTCGAGTTTAAAAATGGCCGGTTTTGAAATTAGAAACAAAACAATTGGATAGTCTATATGATTCTAGAAATTGTTTTTAGTATTAAGACTCCGGAGCCTTTTTACCATTGATCTGTTTTCCAGATATAGTGAAAGCGTTCATAGTACATCTACTGCTATGCTAGTTTAGAGTTACTCAACATTGGAATGACATTTCAGGATTGTTATGATATTTAGTTTAGGCTACACATAATTTTTGCAGGCTTATTTGAATTTGCAGTAAACTCTCAATGTAGTCTATAGGCAGACCTAAATATACATTATTTAAGGACTAAGATCACACGCGGCACAGTCTTGTTTAATATTATCACCTATTTTAAGAATAATTGTTTTAGCAGACTGTTTCACAGTTAGCCAGTGATACTGAATTTGGGAGAAAAACAAATTCAAAAAACGAAATTTGCGAAATTCTGTGTCATGAAGGAAATTAAAGGCTAATGATGTCACAGACAATATCAAATGTGTGTGGGTCAACCAGTTATTTTGTGGGGATGGGAGATACAATTTTTACCCCAAATAGGCCCACGTGTTGATACAGCTTGTTTGTATTTTTTTTTTAGGGGTTGGGGGAGGGCAATAAAGTAATGTTATCAGCTTTCGCAAATAGCAGTTGTTCAAGTTGTGACGTATGCTTTAGGCCTTCACAATGTGTAAACAAGTTATCAAAGTTAATTTAATCAGTAAAATTTAAATCGCCGGCTCTGCTTGACTGAGGACTACACAGACAAGGTTTCAAATAAAATCTAGAACTAACGCTCTAGATGCCTATATCTACAAATCTAAGCCTCAAAGCAATCCCAACAGCTGAGATGAAGAAAATGTTATTCTTTGAAGGTTAATAAAAATTAAAAGGTAATTATTTTTTTAATTTTAGTAATAGTATAAAAATAGTATAACTACTGTGTAATTTACACTCTATAGTTTATAACCTGCTGCGACTAGATCAAGAATCTAGTTTTGATCAGCTCCATGTAGGCCTACATTGTTTATTTTAAAGATTCAAATCTTATATAAATCTATCTAGATCTAGGCTATAATCTACTAGATCTACTCTAGATTCTAGCACGAGACTAGATTTCATACTATCTAGACTCTAGTGTATAGATCTAGAACTTTTGAAGGCTTATTCATTATGTATTATTTTAATATTTTAGGCTTACTAGCACCAATTACTTTCCTTGTTAATCACCAAAATAAGTACTTTTTATTAGTTTGTTTTGGAGTTGGATAAAACATAATGTTATAATTAGCATGGATTGATAAAGTGCAATGTGGTTGGTAAAAAGGGTATTTTAAAACTACCTTTTAATTTATACACTGAATGTACTTTTTACTAATTATTATGTTTAATCAATAACAGTTTAGAAGCCAACTAGGCCCTGCACTGGCCTCTGTGAAAAACATATCTGTAAAGGACAATGAGTAAATATTAAGTTTAATCAACAGCAGTCTAAAAGCCATTCCTAAATGTCCTCTATGTTAATCTTTATCTTTCCATTTGATGATAAGATTGAATATTATAGTTGTTCACTAAATTGAATCAGGCGTCCTGGCAAGGTGTGATGTGTGCCCCGGGCTATCCTGTGAGCGCTATGATGCATACCTTTATTTAAAGAGTGCATAAGGCTGTAAACAAAAAAAGGGTTACTATATTTGTTCACTAAATAGATTCCAGGGCGTTCCCAGTGCCCCGGCAGGGTGCTATTTGGCGCCCCAAGGCCTTTCCGTGAGTGCTTTGGAGCCTAAATTCACTTTAGGGAGTTCAATAGACTATGGATAATAAGGTGTATTATAGTCATTTACTAAGTTGAATCAGGAGGTTCCGTCGGCGCCCTGGCAGGGTGCCATTTGGCATCCCGAGCTGTACTGTGAGCATTATACGTTAATGTTTGCATTTAAGTTTGTGTTTATGTTCTGCGTTATGTTTGTTTTTTGTGTTTATGTTTTTTTTTTGTTTTTTTTGGTTGGTAGTGCTTAGGGTTAATAAAAAAAGTAATATATTTCCTAAACCCGGGCAATGCTGTGTATATGATGCTTACTAAACACACAAGTCATGGTCCTTTACAGTTAGGTTCTTCACAGAGGCCTGTGAAGGGCCGGGACGGGTAGTATTTTTATATAGTAATACAGCACAATCCATGTAGATTTATATTAATATATTAATGTAGCCTGCTTTATAAAAGAAAGATCTAGATATAGCTTAAGTTAGTATCACTCTGTAGTAGTAGTATGTTAATTTGTATAATTTAATTTTTTGTTAAGATGCTCATGACATTTTTACTGCTCTTTTTAACAGGTTTTTTTTAGATGGTTCTTACAAGTGTCATTAAGGACTATCACACAACATACCTGCTTGAACACATTTTGGGGCTATTGGCAGCTTTGCATAAAAAGATTAGCCAAAAAGATTATTGCCTGGAATATTTAACTGTTAAAATCTCAACATTAAATAAAACAAATATATAAATGCAATGAAAATAAGAAAATAAAACTAACCTTATTTCTGTTTTTGGCACTAAAGTATGTAAAAGATCTCATGAGTGACCAACGGAAAACAAAACAGTTACTAAGTATTGTAAAATGACAGCAATCTGAGGAAATGGCTACCATGAGGGTGGGGAGGGGCAATTCTGCTGCTGGTTGAGGGTAAGGGTAATAGCAGGTGGGTAATGTCTTAGGCCCACTAAAATCTTGCATGTTCTCTAATTTTTTAGATAATTTATTGTTGACTTATTGTAAGCAACATGGCTACACAATTTACCTTTAAAATAATAAAGCTGCATGCCCACTAACTAGATATCAGTGTTTTTCTTTTTGATTACTCTTTCTATTATTTATCATTTAGACTTTATAGTACTTTACCAGATGCTCCAGGTCAAAGGTCATGTTTGTTTTTAAAAATGTTCAGTAACCTGTTCTGTAAGTGTGAAAGCTATAGTATACATGTTCTGTGAAGAAAATGTTCTTAATTAACTTCTGGTAGGCTTTGTGTTCTAAAAATGTATAGTATACATGTCATGTTGTATAAAAGTTTATAGTTGTGGCTATATATCTGCTTTAAAAATCTCTGATTGGATTCATTTTTGCCACACTGGTGATTATAATCTCTGGTGGTGTAAGTGCACTTCTGGATTAAATTCTAGAAAATTTCTAATGGTTGCAAATTTTTCAAATAGTTTTATAGGCCTTAAAGTAGGTATGTCAAACCGCTGTAAATAACACAGTTTGGCCTGCGTCGCCAAATTATAGTAGCTTTTCACTTAATAGTTTCTATAATAAAAAGGGCTCGTATAGTAATAACTTTGGTACCACTAAAAAGTAAATTTTAAGCCCTCAAATTCTACATAATTTTTATAGTTGTTGATATTACACGATATATCTCATTTACCGAGAGGCTCTTTTTGTTCTTTTTCTCTCAGGATGAATGACTTTTTAAAAAAGGTTAAATGTTATAAAAATAATATAAGTGTTTTATAATTAATTTAGGGATACACATCATTTTGGAATGACTGCATATCATCTGGGCTGAGAGGGTGTATACTGATTGAATTATCACTAAGGGGAAGAATTGAGTTGGAGAAAGCTGGCATGAGGAGGAGGAGTTTGGCTAATCGCAAAGTTATATGTAAAAATGATCAAGCAACTGGAGATGTTCTTTTAGATGAAGCACTGCGCCACATAAAAGAAACCCAACCACCAGAAACAGTGCAATCCTGGATAGAATACCTAAGTGGTAACAGTTTACTTATTTCATTAAATCTTTTTATTGAGTACTATTAATTTCATTTTCTTTTTCACTTAGTAGTAGCTAATATTTGCATGGATGGTATATAAAAACCATGTGACATAAAGCCTTAGTTGGCTGTTCTTTTATTTAATATCATCCTGCAAGTACAGAGTGCAGATCCTTTGAAGGTGAAATTTAAAAAAATTGAACTATACATTTTTAAGTTGTTACCTTACAGTGTAAACTCATAAATCTACTACTTATGAGTTTATTAGTTTTTAGAAATTCTCTTGACTCTTATGCTAAAATAAAACTTTTATTTTAAAAAATGTTATGAGAGAAAAGCTGTTAAAAGCACTGAAAAACAGACTAAAAAGACCATCAGTCAATTGGATTGCAGCTTGGAAAAATATAATTTTTTTTATTAATTTATATTTTAATCTTTAAAAGTTTCTACTTTTCTATTTTAAGGTGAAACCTGGAATCCACTAAAATTGCGATATCAGCTTCGTAATGTGCGCGAGCGTTTGGCCAAAAATTTAGTGGAAAAGGGTGTCTGCACAACAGAGAAACAAAATTTTTTGTTGTTTGATATGACAACTCATCCTCTTACAGACAATGTTGTCAAACAGAGATTAATAAAAAGAGTACAAGACTCAGTACTGAGTCGTTGGACCAATGATGCTCATAGAATGGATCGCCGCATGTTGTCATTGATATACCTTGCACATTCATCAGATGTTCTGGAAAATGCTTTTGCCCCTTTGTCAGATGATGACTATGAAGTTGCAATGAAAAGAGTGAGAGAATTGTTGGATCTTGACTTTGATACAGAGAGTATGAAGGAAGGAACAAATGAGCTAATGTGGGCAGTTATCAGTTCAATGAGTAAATGATTAAATTTGTATTGCTTTCTTTCATTATTTCAAATGATTTATGTTTTAATTTCTATCAAATGGGATAACATTTTCTTTAGGTTTTTTAATACTTGATATATTGACATTTAATGAATGAACATTTTATTAGTGTACATAAATTTTCTTTGTTTAAAATATTATATTTTTTCCTTTTAAGATTTTTCAAAAATAATTTAACATGCAGTTCAGTTAACGCACTTTCTTCATGTGTACATTGCTGTCCCAATGTCAGTGTACCATTATTATTATTATAAAAATTCAGTTTTGATTTATATTAACTAAACTTAGTACATTATATTTCTTTTTTGAGAAGACAAAGTAAGATTTAGAAATTTTGAATACTTTTAAAAATAAAGATTTCTTTATAAAGATTGAGGTGTTTTTTCTGCCAATATTGCTGCAATCTTTAGAATCAATCTGGAAAAGCGTTTGAGATAGAGTTACTGCCCATTTTAAGGTACCTTGGGATCATCCATTTATGATCTCCACAGAAGTTTTGGATTTTAGCGAGCCCTCTTTCCCTGCATTCACTTCCAACAACCTATCCCTGGTGTAGAATGTTAGTATGTTTTAAACGTGGGGGCTAGGTTGCTAAAGTATTATTCTTTGTACTTGTACAGTGATGTATTTTGATAATTATTATTTATAGGATTTACAAGTCGCATGGCCTGGCTCATGACCTCTATTTCCGTTTACTTCTTCGCGCCTTACTAAAGAGGTACTATATTCATTTAGGTTCATCCATCAATGACTTTGTTAGATCGAGGATTTCAGAAAATTATACTTTTTTTTTTCCCCATTAATTTAAGCAATTGCTTCCCAATGGTAGCCATTTTTTTTTTTATCTCTATAAAAATTAAGGAAAAAAGCAGACACAGTGTTGACCGAGCTCAGTAAATATTTTAGAATAAAATTGCTGACTTTTTTTGTGGTAGGCTGAGGTGTAACAACATTTTAGGTGTAATGTCCTGCCTTTTTGTGACAATGTGTGATGTTGAAGAAGTTAAAAATGGTTAAATTTCGTGACATCACTTATGTATGACCCCAGTGTAGGAATAAATATTGCACTTTATTTGAGCTGGGATTTTATTAAAAACAGGAACACTGTTGTCTTAATTTTACTTTTAAATACAGGATATAAATTGATAGTATGTTAGTACTTTGATATTAAATCACTAAGCGGCGTCTGTATAGACCCGGATCCTCCTTCCCAGTTCACGATTCCAAAAAAATATATTTTTGAAACCCTCTGCCCCCCCTCCCCCTCTGTGTGGGAATCATAACTGGATAACCCCCCTAACAATTAAATTTCCAACCTGGGATCATGAAATACCATATTAATTAAATTTGTTAATTTCAACATTGTTTAATCTGCTAAATTTGGGCAGTTGGAAAATACATGGTTATTATCTGTGATTTTGTTGTTTTCAAGGTTTTAAAAAAAATCTACTTTGTAAATATTTTGTGTAACATCCAATGAGGGCTTTTTTAATTTATTAAAATAATAGGAAAATAGGTAGTATGTCTTTTTTAAAATCAATTAATTAAACCAGGAAAAAACTACTTTTATCATATCACACATATAATGGCTGGTCATCAGCCACTAAATCTTGTGATAATTTGCTTTTAAAAGCTAAATTTATCTTATAATCTGTCAGCCTACTATTGCTCATGGAACTATTGTTGTATTTTATTATGGTCAAGAGGGAAATGTATAAAAAAATTGAAATTGCATTACACTTTAGTTAAAATTATATTGCTGCTATTTAAAATAATGATGCTGCCTTTTACCACACTAATTTTAAATATGAAAATGACATATTTCATCTGGTTTTGGTTTTTTTTTTTGTCAACAAATTAAATGTGCTGAATTCATCTTTAGTTCTTTGTTTTTGTTTTGTATGTCGTACTACTTTTTTCAGCACTTTGCAAAAAAGTACTTGCATTCTTTTTTGCATGTCAATTAGCTACAGCAATATATATATATATATTGGGACCCCCCCCCCCCCCCCTGGTGCTATTGGTATCACAGAAAATCATGTTAAATAATTTAACATAAACCATGATCTATATGTAACTAGTGTATATGTTGCTACTTTCTAAATTAGCTACTTATGTTACAAAACATTATAATTATATAGTTTTTTTTTAAACAATTACAATAAATGTATTTTTAGACGGACTCATGTGACCATAACAGAAATTTTACTGTTAACAAAGTTGTTGCTATATTTCTTGGCTCTTAGTGTTTGCTGTATGAAAGCATTAAATGTATGTTCATATTACCCCCATCTCCGTAATAGTGAGAAAAGTCACTACTCTGTGACATGCAAGGCGTTCTCTGGTGCAACTGGTTGGATGTGGTGCATGGGCACCAGGTTCGACCCTTGGTTCTGTTTAGTCAGGGAATGTAATAGACCTGTGAGTCCCTACGACAAGGTGCTCTTTGAAATGAATAAGGTACATTAGTGCTCATTTAGAAACACAGGGTGCACTGGGTCATATGACTGCAATTTATTCAATTTAGTCATCGCTTCCCTCTGGGTCCCTTTTTAAAATTAAGTGCTCAGGGGGAAGCCCAGGTGCAGTATGACCGTTAAATCAAGTCTAATCAATATATCTCAGGTGCTAAGATAGCACCCCTCGGAAATTTTTTTAAACACAGAAACCTTCCCAGAAATATTCTCAACTTCCCTAAGTTTTACTGCCATCAGATGAACTGTGTAATAAAAAAAGACGTTTGACATATCCTGAGGGCCTAGTTTTTAAATTTGCTTTATTTTTGTGTTTTCAAAAATTACGAGTTTTTAAATTCCATCTTTAAAATAATTAGTATTAGTGCTTTATTTTTTGCAATCATTCTTAACTACTAAAAATATTAGCTTTCAACCCGCTCTGTAGTTTGCAACCTGAACGTTTAAGTTAAAACAAGTACTGAGTGTCTGGGGGAATCCAACCAACAGTTTACTTCAATCTGTCACAGGGATGATTGAGCATTCACTGCTATCTCCCCTTAAGTTAATTGTAATGATCTTAACATCTTTTTATGATGTAATTCATATTCAATTAAATTTTAAAGTAAGTTTTATTTGTATTATCTTTAAATAGTTTAAAGAGGTATATCTCGAAAAGATTGTTACCCTTTAGTCCTTGTGGTTCATGGGGCTGATTGAGTTCACCTCAACATATGAAGGAATATTGTAGTCAACAGCTTTTACTTTCCCTAAATTGTCAGGTAAAGTTAAGTGTACTCTGGGACGTCCTACGCACTCAAGACTTTCAGGTTAGCAGTTGTACAATCTACCATCTTACGACGCTGCCCGTTATGTATCACTGCAACAAATTGACAGATACATTGTGATTCACACCCTGATAACGAAATTTATCTTTTTTTTTTCAATTTCATTTTGGACACTAGGATTCATACCATGATGGTTGTTTGGGACGGCATAGCCTAGTGGTAAACAATCCTTTACAAATCTCTTAAAAAGAACTAAATATGTATGATGTAAAGCATAATATAAGAGGTAATTACTTTCTCCCCCAATTTATAGCTTAGCAGTTTAAAATTTAGTTCTAGAGTATAGTGATGCTGTGTTCCACCAGAGTGTAGTGAGTGTAGTGTTAATGTGTTCCACTAGAGTTTAGTGATGATGTTTTCTACTGGAGTGTAGAGATGATGTGTTCCATTAGAGTGTAAAGATGATGTGTTCTACTGGAGTGTATAGATGATGTGTTCCACTATGTTGTGATAATGTTTTTTGACAAAGAAATATTTAAGTTGAATGATAGAATCACCACCCTCCTAAACATTACTTATCACTCTCTTAATAAATCCTAAACTGCTCTCTTTAACAATCCTTTACCACTTTCCTAAACAATCCTTTACAACTGTTCTGAACAATCCTTTACCAATCTCCTAAACAATCCTTTACCACTTTCCTATACAATCCTTTACCACTCCCCTAAACAGTACTTTACCACTCTCCTAAAAAAATCCTTCAACATTCTCCTTAACAATCCTTTACAAATCTCTTTTAACAAACTTAACCATTCTTCTTAACAATCCTTTACAAACCTCTTAAAAAGAACTTAACCCTTCTTCTTAACAATCTTTTACAAACCTCTTTTAAAAACTTAACCGTTCTTCTTAACAATCCTTTACAAATCTCTTAAAAAGAACTTAACCGTTCTTCTTAACAATCCTTTACAAACCTCTTTAAAAGAACTTAAACGCTCTTCTTAACAATCCTTTACAAATCTCTTAAAAAGAACTTAACCAATCTTCTTAACAATCCTTTACAAATCTCTTAAAAAGAACTTAACCAATCTTCTTAACAATCCTTTACCACTCCCCTAAACAATCCTTTACCACTCTCCTAACCAATCTGTTAGAACTGTCCTTCTAATAAAAAATGTATAGTTGAGTGAAGCATTAAACTATGTGTCACATTATGATTCCATTTAATGAGTTTGATTTGGGGAACTTGAAAGGGAGAAACATTGCAATCTTTTTCATTTAACAGTCAATTTACTTGACTCCATGTTTGGACATAGTGATTAAACCACTTGACTTTTGGATAATTCTTACTAAATAAAATCTGACAACAAAATATAAGTGCACATTTAGTCTTCAAGGTTATCATTTAGTAACCATTTCAAGGTTATCAGACAGAACCATTTGAAACCAGTTCATTAGGTGGTTATATCAGGGTAATAATAGAGTGCAAGTTTTCTCCCCTACAACATTATTTTACTATAAACATAATCTTAATACAAATCATCTTTCCATCCGGATATACATATAAAATAAAAAGTGATTTAATGGGTAAAACAAATGCAAAATTTATATTTGATGTAAGATAGATCACATATAATTTTAAAAATAATTAAAGAAGAAAATCTTAGCTTTCTTTAAATTTAACTAATTATTGACAAAAATAATGTGACAAAATATTTTTGTGACTAGTTAGCATTTTAATAACATTTTGAAATGACTAGCAGTAAATAAAAGATCACACATCTGATATTCTATTTACAATTTTAGTTTAAAATCATCTTAGATCTTTACTCAAAATTACTCTTAGTATTTTATTCTTTAAAATATATTAATCAAATATAAAAATTGAGAATTAAAGTAACTGTAATGACTCTGTAACATATTGGGATTTGTGAGGTCAGGGGAACTCACTCTTCTTGTATTAGTTATATTTATAATGTTGTTATTGAGTGATGTCCCTTGTATTTATCTATCATTGTTCCTCTTCCGGTTACCAAATAAAGATGGCTACATGCTGATGGCTTCTGTCTCCGTTGTGTATTCCTAATCTATTATATCTGGCGACGAGGATGGGATAATCTACTAGAAAGAGCACCTACTTACGCAAAAAAGAGGTTTGCTAGAGCTTATTGGCTAAGTATTTCTAGAATAATGGCGCTGTATGGCCAAATAAAAGAATTTGATTCGAATGATGAAATCATTCAGGATTACCTAGATAGGTTAAGCTTTTACCTTGAAGCAAACAACGTGACGATAGAAGCCAAAAAGAGAGCTGTTTTGTTAACAGTCATAGGGCCTCAACAATTTAGGCTACTAAAGGACTTATGCGCACCAGCTAGTCTAACTACCAAGAGCTTTAACGAGTTGAGCAAATTGCTAACAGACCACCATGCGCCTACCCCATCAAAGTTTCTATGTCGAGCTAGATTTGACGGTAGGACTCGTCAACCAAACGAGTCAATATCAGAATATGTTGCTGCTTTATGTCATCTAAGTAGATTTTGTGAATTCGGCGATACGCTGTCTGACAGACTATGTGAAAAGTTTGTGACAGGTGTAAACAGCCCTGATGTTCAAAGAAAGTTGCTGCTCGAGTCAGATCTAACATTAGAAAAAGCAATACAACTTACAACTTCATTCCAGCAGTCATCTGATGCGGCGAGATCTTTAGCACCTTCAGAGATCCATGCAGTAAACAGCAGGTTAGTCAATAAACATCAACCCCATCAGAGCATTTCAACTTATGCTAAACAGCCTGCACGTTTAAAGCCTAGATCTAAATCTTTTAATCTAGTAATAATTATCAAAAATGTCATCGATGCAAAGGTCCCCATGCATCTCATCGGTGCAAGTTCAAGTCTGCAACTTGTTATAAGTGCGGTAAGCAAGGTCACATGGCCAAGGCCTGCTTTGCAAAGTCTTCGTCTGTTGCTAAATCTAACCAGTCAAGACAGTACCGCAACCAAAGGCAGCACTATGTTAACTCTCACCAAGACTACCTAACCCAACCAATGAACCACTCTACCTGTGAAAATGCTCAAACTGATTCGCAGCCGGATTTCAACCTGTTCTCTGTGAAATCAATAAGTCATGCTCCCATCAATGTACTAGTTAATATCAACGGTAAGAGCATCAGCTTCCAACTTGACACTGGAGCATCTCTAACAGTCATAACAAAGAAAGATTTTGACGCTGTCACAGGAGGATCAGTGCCTCTACAGCCATGTCACAAGTGTCTAACAACATACACTGGTGACAATGTTCCGGTAATAGGAGAGTGTGTGGTTCATGTAAGTTATAATGGTCAAAGTGTTAAACTTCCTCTTCTTGTGGTTGAAGGAAATGGACCACCATTACTAGGTAGGAACTGGTTAGTTGATCTTAAGTTAAATTGGGAGAGTATATGTTCATTGAAGAATGTAAGAGAATCTAGTCTTACTTCAATAGATAAAGTAATATCTGAAAATAAAAGTGTTTTTGGTAATCCTGGATTACTAAATGATAGAACAGTGAAGTTAAGCATTAAAGACACAAATCCAAGATACTGCAAAGCTAGAGTTCCACCTTATGCAATGAGGAATAAAATTGAAAATGA